ATGTGGATTTAAGCCTGTACACAATGCAGGGCCGCTCTTGATAATTACTATATTGTAAATCAATTAAAGGACCCACTGGACGCCGCGGAATGTAGTGTTATTAATTATTATTAGAATAACTATTAATTAAAATTAGAAATAAATAATATACCATATGCCATACTGATTGTTCTGCAGAATATTATTGTGCTATTCGCCCTATACTAGTAAATATTAACTTAAACTTTACGGTACTCTGCTACTCCCAAATACATTCTCGTGTGTATGGTACTCGTAGATTTAAAACGAAGTAACGAGGACAGGGGATTTATGCTGATCTGAAATTGGGAAAACTTTGATAAAACTATAAACAACAAACTTAAGAGAGAAATGTGTTTAATTTTATCCAAATAAAATAATGCCGTACAATTTGCATAACAATCAAGTCCCACCGCACATATGCTACCTTGCCTTCTCGGAGCCTCAGACGGGAGACAGCCGGGGAGTGGAGTGGGAAGAATAACATTTAAAATAACAATACCACGGACAACAACCATGATGCAATGTTCCGAATTTTCCGAGAGAGTTGACAAGACCAGGAGATGGGTAAGGGATGGAGCATGGAGCGGCGGTGGGTCCCGGCACCCGGGACCCGGGACCCGGCAGCAATAAACCACAATCCATGTAATCTACTTAGGGGCTAATCCCTGCTGATGCTGTCGTGTGACACGCTCGCACAACGAGCTCGCACAGATACTCTCACACACAGCCGAAGTCACACAAAGACAATTACAATAAACGGGCCAGAAGGATGCTGCAGAAGGATGCTGCAGAAGGATATCAACAGCATCATCGGTGGAGGCAAAGGTCGCCGCCACGTTAACGGTGAACGGAAAGCGGTGCTGGAGGTACGCGTGCCCGTACTTACCTAGCGATTTGTTTGAAATTGAATTTACGGCGCGGCTTCTTGCCTTTGCTCTCGCCGCGCCCCTTCTTCCAGACGTGGGTGCGCCAGGCGAGGTCCTGATACTCGAACGAGGGCTTCAGGTAGTACAGCGCCATCTCCTGGTGGAACACGGGCGTGATGGAGCCGGAGAGCGGCGGCACAATCCATATCCAATCGGCGGGACAGCCGTTCCTGTGGAAAGTGAATCGTCGCGTCAGTAATTACTCGTAATTGACGGGGGCGCCAGGGTTCCAAAGGGAGACACTAAGACTATGCTAAGCGGCCATACAGCAAATGCAAATGGCTGCAAATTGAAATATGGACAGCATATTTTTGGCATTCCAAACGCGGCATTAGCATTAATTGGCTTATTTGTTGGTTGTCTGCCCCAAAAATAGATGCACCCCGGCCAGACAAGGCTTAGGCTTCTGATTTACTGTTCCAAAATGGGGCTGCCCCAAGGGGAGCCCCCAAGAGCCACTGAAAATAGCCATCAAATCGCACCCGTGAGTAGGTCAAATACCAATTCCTGGAACTCCACGGAAGCAGTGTGGCCCATCCAGCTTTTGGCCCAGGCCAACCACCTCCATGTGGGCTGAAGCCGAGAAAAGTAGCAAAACATATCAAAGGCCCAGTATAATTAAAGCCGGGAAATTACATTTAACTGCTAATGAGAGAATAAAAAGTCAATTGAATCATTCAAGATTTGAAATCACTTTTGGCTAGCGCTAAAGTCAATTTGAAACGAAATTAGATTGGTTGATTCCTCCCTTCTATCCCGCTATCCCAAAGAACAGACAGACTTTAAGCGATACTCCGTTGTATTTCGAAAAGACTCAGCTGTAGTTGAAAATATTTTAATTTTCACCATAAAAATTATTGACAAACTCTAACCCTCCCACAAGAAAATGACAAGAGTCTCTGCTGGAACTCTACTTTTGGCAATAACAGCTGATTTAATGGGCTTAAGTGGCGAGAATTTAATGCTGAATATATGAACAAAAAAATATTCATTAGAAATTCACTGAATGAATAATTCGTGCTCAGTGGTGCACGGTTTATATCACCAGTAAAAAATTAGCGTATCGTAATCAAATAATCCAATATGTACATAATTACATTAAAAAAATGCTACCCATCAATGACGAACCTGCTGAATTGCAAAGCCCGTGAAAAGTGTCACCCCACAGGGCTATCCTTCGAAACTGTTGTGCAGATAAATATGAAAAATGATATATTAATTTCTGTTCAGCCCCAGCCCGCCCACCGCAGAGGATTTCCCCCCTGCGACAGAGCAGAAATATCTGACATATTGTACGGCATTTATGTGTCTCGCGAGCACTTTGCATAAACGCTGGCGACAGCAAATTGGAAACAATAAATTTATTTTTGCACCTGCAGAGTTTTCCGCACACTTTTCCGCTTTTCCGTGGCGGCGGAAGTCAAATAAAACACGTTAAGCCATAAACCAGCGGCCGGGATATGCCATAAATGCAGGCCCGACTCGGCCATAAAGTGGGAGCCGCCACCAATATATGCATATCCTTAATCGCCGATCCAGACTATTCTTACCTCAACTTTGACTCGTTCTCGAAGTGTTTCATGAAGCTCTCGCTGGCCGTGTGGTGGTCCACGATGGTCACATTGCGGCTCTGGAACGAGTGCAGCACGGCTATGTTCATCTCCACGACGGCCTTGTCCTTCCACAAGGAGGTCGGTGTCCGGGTGTCCAAATTCATTTTCAACGCCACAGTCTGAAATCAAAAAAAAAACAAAAACAATTTTATTTGTGTATAATTGAAAATTGATGAGAAGGCATAGCCGTGCCCTGGTATATGGGATACGATACTCGTAGATGGTGTTTCGCTCTAATTGAAGAGTGTTGTCAAATTTCGATTACGGTTTTTGGTTTTTGCGGCCAGGAACTAATAATTACTAGTAACAGGACTGGCCCACACGCACCAACAAGTGCCTCCGGGCACTGCAGCCGACTGTGTCCCACCGACAGTGGTTGGCCAGACCACAGGCCCAACTATACGTCAATTATAGATCCAGCCCCCGGCCATAGAACGTTATGAGTAGAGGCCACTGCGGTTGAGTTGTGTGCCCATGGCTCTGGGTATTTATGGGCTTGGGAGGGGACTTATTGACGGGAGGGAACCAGGGACTCTTAAAGCCAAGAGCGGTATTTATTTAGTTTATGAGCAATGGACCGGACACTGACTTGATGGCTCGGGACTCATAATTGAATGCAACAAGTACGTACTAAATTTCGAATTAAATGGCTTTCTATCTGATTCCAAAATTAGCGGAATAGAATCGGTAGAGATCGGAGCCGAACCTATGGGAATTGGACTTCAATGGTATTAAATTTCCTTGTTTCTTAAGACGACTTGTTCAACAGTTGATCCATTTGATGGAGAAAGATAGCATATCCACTCATAGACAAATATGCCTGTTTTGAGAGCTTGTAGGGTGGGAAATGTCTCTCGTTTCCAGGGAAACTCTTCTCAGAACTATACTACCCGCGGCAGGGGAATATCCGCGATTTTCCACCTATCAGACAAGCACGTCACAATCTTTTGTGTGTGCGTTTGTGATGATTGCATTATGCTGTGAGCTGTGATAAAATTAAACAACATTTCTGGCGTGCATTCAGCTGAAAACTAATTAGGCCGGCAAAATCGACCCAAATGTCACTGCAGCTGCGTATATTTAGTAGGAGGCTATAATCACATGAGGAACTCATCAAGCGAATAATTCTCCCCGGAACCTCGTCGGGCTTTAAAGCAGGTCTCCTTCTTAAGTGCTGTTAACCCACTTTCCACTTTCCCCACTCCCACGTCGCTGGTTGGCAAAAGAATGCCAAACGCTTTATGCCAGGACGGCGGGAATGACAAAAGAGGACGTGGCGCCGGAGGAGGAAGCACATTATGCGGCCATATAATGAAATAAGCGGCGGAACGAGCCGCTATACAAAGACATCAAGGACACGAAGCGTGGACAATGTTAACGGAGTGGAGGCTATCGGGCTATCAAGCTATCAATTCAGGAATTACAGTACCACTCCGCCACCGGACCTCCCATCCGCCTTTCCAACTTACCTCCAACATATTGCGCCGATTTGTGTCGCATAAATTCCGACAGCCAATCTCCGTGGACATGTACCAGCCGCTGAACGTGGTCGCCGTGAACTGGATGCCGCCCACATCGAAGAGCATGCTGGACACGGCGGGCAGCGCGTACCATCGCAGCCCCAGCTCCGTGAACCACTCGAATCTGCAAAGAGAGGGCACAGTGGGTGGCCGATTATTGTTCTGCCCTCGTATCTGGCACTCGTATGTTTGATGTGGATGCAAAGTCGCTGGATACACATGTCATAGCAGGACCAGCTGATGGTTGGACCCAGTCTATTGCCAGAGTTCAAGGATGTATGACATTCGGGGAAGCGTATGTAACGGGATGAACCATAATTAAGTACTTATAGAAATTCCCGGCTTTCTATTCTATATGATCTGTATTTGTCGTGATCAGATTAGCTTCTAACCCACTAACCAACAACTATGTATCTACCTGCAAGTGGCTTACAGATCTTCAGGAGTACTGTCCTTTCTTATAGACTTACTGCAAAAGAGACTTTCAGAGTATCCGATACTTTAATGGTGACTAAGACTTTAGCGTTCGTTTCTGATACCATACCCATGGCCATCATTCCATCACATCCAGCCAGTCTTTCATTTAGTAATTTCTTTTCAAAAAGTATCTAAAAATATGTCGCTTAGTCGTCATGCACTTCAAAAAGGTTCACAGCTATGAAAAAAATAAAGCAAATTTCTACCCTTTTGAGAAAACAGCTGAGCAAAATATTTAGAGCTTGAATGGAGTTCTAAGCAAACAGCAAATTTATTTTCGTATCTAATTAGGGTTTGCCCCAGGTCTGTAGCCTAAAAGAACGTAAAAATCGAGATCGTTGGATACCAGAAAGCTGTGTCCACGAACAAACATTTAGATGTTCGGAGCTATATAAGGGCCTCCACCAGGGGCAAGTCACATTTGAAGTGTAACAAGCGCAGACATGAGAAGGCTAATCGTTTTCCTAGTACTGATCGGAGTTGGCCGCTCGATGGCAAAGCTGAACCGCGTGCAACTCCAGACGCAGAGCAACTTTACCAAGACCCATGGAAACGTGAAGGCCGAGAAGACGCTGCTGGCTGCGAAGTACCTGGTGGAGGCCACCACAAGCTCGGAGTCCACGGAAACACTGCAGAACACTCTGAACATGGAGTACTACGGACTAATCGGTATAGGAACCCCGGAGCAAATCTTCCGAGTTCTCTTCGACACGGGATCCGCCAACCTGTGGGTGCCGAGCGCCAAGTGCCCGAGCACCAACGTGGCCTGCCAAAAGCACAACCAGTATCACTCGGGGCAGTCCAGCACTTATGTGGCCAATGGTGAGAGCTTCAGCATCCAATACGGAACCGGCAGCCTAACGGGCTTCCTCTCCGAGGACACGGTGTGGGTGGCAGGGATAGAGATCCAGCAGCAGACGTTCGCTGAGGCGCTCAATGAGCCGGGATCAACCTTCGTGAGTGCGCCCTTTGCCGGCATTATGGGGCTGGCATTCAAGTCGATTGCCGTGGACGGCGTGACCCCGCCATTCGACAACATGATCGCACAGGGTCTGCTGGACGAGCCTGTCATCTCCTTCTATCTGCAGCGCCAGGGCACCGCTGTGCAGGGGGGAGAGCTGATCTTGGGGGGAGTCGACCCCAGCCTCTACACAGGGAATCTGACCTACGTCCCAGTCTCAGTGGCCGGCTACTGGCAGTTCAAGGTGAACTCCGTGAAGTCAGGTGGCATTCTTCTCTGCAGCGGCTGCCAGGCCATAGCCGACACTGGCACATCGCTGATCGTGGTTCCCGAGGCGGCCTATGCGAAGATCAACAGCCTGTTGGGAGCCACAGACAACGGCGAGGGGGAGGCTTTCGTGAAGTGCGCTGATGTATCCTCCCTGCCCAAGGTTAACCTGAATATTGGCGGCACTATCTTCACCCTGGCCCCAAAGGACTACGTCGTCAAGTTAACGGAGGCCGGTCAAACCCGCTGCATGTCCAGCTTCACCTCCATGTCCGGAAACACACTGTGGATTCTCGGCGACGTTTTCATCGGCAAGTTTTACACGGTCTTCGATAAGGGTAATAACACGATTGGGTTTGCTAGAGTGGCTTCGTATTGATATTTGCCTGCTTTAAAAGCACCATGATTGCCGCTTAAAAAATATACCAATAAATGCTTTCCAAAATCCGGTTACCTCTGATTACTTTCAGTCAATTAAAGTTCTTTCTATATAGCGGAAAGCCTCTTTCTGATAATAAATTTTGATTACACCTAACTTGGTTTTTTACAAGCTTTTATAGATCCCGGAACTCGAGTACCGGCTGCACAGTACAATGTAGTAGAGACCGCACAAATGACACAAATATTTGGCTTTTATTAGCCATTTTGTTTACTCACTTGGGATGGGTCAGCGGCACTTCCAGTATCAATTCGGGCGGATAGTCAAAGTAGTCCGGATCGTGACCGTTGGCCGAGACCACCACCGGCAAGATGTCCCATTCGCCGCCCTTGCTCTTCCAGCCAAGCTTCGTGCAGACCTGAGAAAGAGGCGGCAATCGGTTAGGATGAAAGTGGATGGACTCCGAGGATAGATGGAGGTTCAGATGGAACATCAAATAAATGCGAAGCGAAATCGAAAATCAACAGACAGGCGGGACGGACGCTGGCCCGGACTGTGGCGGGAATAAAAAGTGACATGTGTAAAAATAAATGGAGATACTTTGGGGCTCGGTTTTATATGCAAATACATCAGAGTCTGTGTGTATTGGCAGCATCTGCTGCCCTCCGCCGTACGCGTATTTGTGTCCGTATTTATTGACAGCTTTGTTGTTTGCTCGCTTGTTTTTGCGTATTTAAAAAGAGATTTATTACAACGAGTTATAGGGCAAACTTTGCCGTTCCTGCTGTCGCTACTGTTGTGGCCTTTGGGGCTTTCCAACTTGTTGGTTCACCAAAAGGTCGCTAGGGAGCGGGAGCGGCAGCCGGAACAAGGGAGACTGGATCCCGATTTAAGGGCGGGAGCAATTGATGGACGAGGGATTATCCGTGTTTTGTATGTAAATCGATAGGTGGATTACGCAGCCACATGCACGTAAATGCGACAATGATCGTCAGGTGGATTCCGATTTAATTGAGGAAATCTGTGGTAGAGAGCACGCCCATTCCCTGCTTCCCTGCTACCCAAAGGCTGAAGGCTCTTCACCCGCACTCACCTCAGTAAACTCCACGTTCATGGGATCGCCAATGATCTTTCCGTCTGCCTGCTTATAGCCGGCATAGGATATTAGCTGGTTATTCCAAATGCGATAGTCGTGTCGGCCATCTGTGCGCTGGGGAAATATCGTAATGGCCGATCTAAAACAAAGAATTTACGCAATCAATTAACAGGCAAGCAAACTCCAAACAATTTGAAGGCACCCCGCTTTAAGTTAGGAAAAGTTCAATCAAACTTTTCCGAGCTACTATAAGCCGTTGGGTACTTATGCCAATGTGTGTGAAAAGTCAAAAGTGCAACATCGATGGGGCCAGTGACGGGCGGACTTTTCAAATATTTATGGAAAAGGCAAACTGGCGGCACACACGCACTCGATTTGGCCAATTAGCAGGGAAAAACATAATTTGCCAATCACTTTTCACCAACAACCGTTGCCAGACGCTGAGTAGATTATTTGAAAATTCGAAATTATGTGCCAAAGAGAATATGGAATGCGGCCAGTCGTATCGAAAATTCGGAACAGCTGCATCGTTTCCACAGCTTAGGGCGATTAGCGAGCATCGAAAATGTTCTGCTCCCAATAATTACCATAAGCTGGTAATTAATCTGGCCACGAAAATTCGAAAATATCCGCCGGATATGGGGAGTACAAATTGGTCGAGAAAACACCTGCATAGCTTCTATTTTTATATTTATCGGCTGGCTCTCCACTCACTCCCAGTGTGGCTTAGCAGTCAGGGGTGAGTCGGATAGTCGCCGGATATGGGGAGTTCAAATTGGTCCAGAAAACACCTGCATAGCTTTTATTTTTATATTTATCGGCTGGCTCTCCACTCACTCCCAGTGTGGCTTAGCAGTCAGGGGTGAGTTTTCGTATAATATACCACCAGCTCTCCCTCGCCTTGGAATGGCCACTTACCTCAGGTTGCCTTTATTGGTTGCATATTTGATGTGGTTGCAAATGGCCTCGAACATGCCACTTGTTGTTGTCACATAGCGGCAATCAAAGACCTGGAACAGAGATGGCAAACTAATTATTCGAGTCAACAACAATCCGTGCAAAACGAGAGACTCTCCCAGAAGCGTCTCACTCGCAGTTTGAATTTGCATGCTACTCGTGGCCGGGGCCCCTGCTTTTGCGCAAAGTTTCAATTAACTAAAATATTCAAATGCTTGCAGCAACTGCGAGTACAAGCAAAAAGTACAAGCAAACAATTGCTGCTACATGGAATCGGAGGGCCACTCCTGCAGCCCTCAACTGTCCGAAAGTTTTTGCGCGCCGGCCAACGGGGCGCATGATAAATGTGACACAAATTTCTGTGTAACCTATACATATATATTTGTGTGGTTTTTAGCCAGGGGGTCCTGCGTTGTTTGCAACTAAATCATACTGGTACATTGACATCCCTTTTCAATTATTACGCTTCAATGAATTTTTTGCAATATATTTCTGTTTCTATCTCTTGAGCTTCTACGAATCGCATAATATTGTTTTTTCACACCTGTTTTTTGGGGCTGTCTCCGTTGGGGCCAGACCAGAGTAAAGTACTTACACTTGGCTTTATGGGCTTTCTGTGTTCGACCCACTCGAAACTGAAATTCATTTCAGGCTTGGCAAACCCTTTTTCACACGATTTTCTGCTGTGTTGGCTTTTGTCATGTTTTTTGTTGGGCAAAATCCAAGCCAAACGGGTTTCCTAATTAAGTTTGGAAAACAAACCCGACCGAACCCAACCCTTTTGAAGTGCTCGAGGAGACAACACACATATTCCATTTCATTTAAATCAGAGTTTTCCCATTTTCTCGTTTCGCTTAGTCCTGTTCGAAAAACTGTGGTAAATGCGTTTCCACCATATTATGAATTGTCATGGCCTTAAATTAAATTATCATACCAAATATCTACGAATCACAATTTGGAAATACATTTTGGAAGTTTAAAGGAAGAATATTTTGGCTGTTTCGTTCAGGTTTAGGTAGTAAATAGTTGGGGGTAGGAGATGGAAACCAAGGGGAATAAGAGAAGTGTACTCATTATATGGAGTGACATAAAAACTATAAAATTATAATGTGTTTCCAAGACCTCGAACGACAAGACACAAATAGCAGTGACTCCCAATGCTGACTACCTATTAAGTTATAAATTAGTTAGAACCCAAACTATGGGCTTAAAAAGTATGATTTATATGCGAGTAAAAACTTTAATTGTTTTTCTATCGATTGAAAGTTTGGCTTTCAAGAAATGCTACAGAATTGGGACTTCAAAAGAACATTCAAAAATTAAGTCCATGACATTTCGTTTGATTCGGGAACACATATACAATATGTTATTCTAAAAGCAAAATATGCTTTGACAAGCATAAGGCCATGGGAAATTCATATATTCATGTACATATGTACGAATATACTCCTGCATCCATGAATGAACAAATTGAATAATGCTAAGTAAATTCTGAAGGTGAATTTAGTGTCACCCCAGTAGCCCCCTGCCATTCCAGCTCTACTCCCAGACACATGCAAATCATTCAGGCGTAAATGGAAATCTGTTCCTTCACACATTGCCAGGCACAGACAGCCATTTTCTGTGCCACTACTGATCATTATAATTTGTATATACTCGCGCCCGTACTCGCACTCGCACTCGCACTCGTACTCATTCATATGAATAAATCTCTGCCCCTGGGCCAAATTGTCTTTCTTGGGTAAAATTAAAATTTACGAGGATTTGCATTTCAAATGCTGGCTTTGTCTGTGCCCCTCCCCTTGGGGGGATTTGCCATCCCTTCTGAGAGTAGTCGCCGTCTAGGCATCTATCATTTTGCTGGAACACGCATAAATCTTGGATAATGGAAAGACATGTATTTGTCTGCGATTTGGGCGCTGACAAATTCGCCCGACTATTTCAGTGGGTGTATTACCCATATAATTTCGGGAATTGCACATGAATATCTACGGCCTAATTTGAATTGATAAATTGCCATCATATTTTGTGGCAGATGATGGAAACTAATATTGTGGGGAGGCAGTGCAACGGAACGGAGGTCAAGCCGGCTGTTGAAGTTATCAAAATTGTCATTGGCCAGTGGCCAGTAGTTTTCTGAATTGCTTTGGATAATGGTTAAGATACTAAACCATAAATTGCGTATATTAGAGAGTGGGGCACTCACCTGCAGCTTGGACCACTGAATGCGACCAATGCAACGCGAAGAGTTGCGCCAGGCCAATTTGGCGCCATAAATTAGCTCGGTTTCGGTTAGCTGATAATATCCCAAGGTCTCCACGCTCTGACGCACCTGTTTCCAGCGTGTTTCGTGGGCGGTGGAAGAAGTGCTGGGAAGAAGACAAAAGATATGGGCCCGTAAAAGCATTTTGCATAGCGCTTTAGTTTAGGCCAAACATTTACCGCTTTATCGAGGTGAAGTACTGCTCCAAGAAGTCCTTCGCGTGGTCCAGCACCAGATCCGTTTTGCGCGCCTCGACAGGCGCATTGCCGATGCCCATGATGCTGCTGGTGCAAGTTCCCTTGGAGCAGGAGAGTATCTGCCAAACGGAGGGGTACGAATAAATAAGTCATAAAGTCTAGTGGCCCTGTGTTTTGACAGCTTTAATTAAAAAAACATAATTGCTCTTTTTGGTAATTAAATTTTTATTGGCGATTCCCTCGCAGCGACAAATGAAGATGAATGACAGCTACGGAGCGGAGAAATGAAGATTGTTGCCAGAGAGCAACAATGAAATGAAATTAATAAAATAAAATAAAAAAAGAGAAAACCAAAAGCAAAAGCAAAAGTCTGTCTCTGTCTGTCCCTTCCCCCCCAGTGGCTGGGACTCTCTCCGGGAATCGTTTAGAAAGCATTTCACTGTCAATTGAGGACGGTTCCCCGCCATCCCGCCATCCCGCCTTCGCT